TTTCTCGAATTCTGCTGACTTTGAGTGAACAATTTCCATTGGATTTTTATCAGTTACTGAGTGAATTGAATTATTATTTATGTTAGTCACCAAAAGAAATCATTCTACATTGTCATTTAGATTGCGTTCCAGTTTCAGGCATCTGGCTATTTCAGCTGGAGTGCTATGATACCTCTCTACTTGACCATTTGAGGTGCTATGTAGAGGCGGGGCATTGGAAATGGTGATATTGAAGTGATTTAGCAAAATTGATTTAATGGTCTCGGAATTTAGTGATTTTTCATTATCGCAGTAGATTGTTTTTGTTTTTGGGATAAAATTTATAATGTGTAACAGAGGGGCTTTTATGTCCACAATAGCTCTCGATGCGATGGTTTGCACTGTAGCGAAGTTCGAGAATTTATCGATGCATCTAAGGAAAAGGGTTCCGTCTGTTGAGAAAATATCAATGTGTAGGATTTCCCTCACAGAAGAAGGTATAGATAGTTTTGCTACCACCTGCCTAGATGAATGGCGTTTGTATTTTGCCACGAAACAGGTTCTGCAGTTCGACGTTATTTCCGTTGCTAACCGGAGCATGGGGAAAAAATAATCCCTTAGAGTTTGATTTTCATTTTACGGCTTTGCGCGATAACCCCTGTTGTGCTCTGCTATATTGATTTCATTCTGCTCGGTCGTGTCCATAATGTCTAGTACGAAGCTTTTTGTGTACTTGAAGGAAGTGCTAGGGGAGGACTCTATTAGTCGGTGCTGGAAAAATGCTAGGGTTGGTAGGCGGAAATGTTTACCACTTCCTGTAATGCATTTAGCAGGTTCTTCCGGTTGGGGGTTCTAATTATGTGCCTCACCTTGCTCTTAAACAAGATGGTAGAAATACCTCTTCGTCCGACGAAAATTCTTCGTTAACTCTGTAAATGGGTGTGGCGAAATTTATTTCAGTATTAACTATATTTCCCAATTATAATCCCAGTATTTTTTCCCAATGATAAAAATATAATTTCTATCTGAACGTTTTTTTATTAGTGTTATATTATAATTCAATTATGAGCTTGATGAATATTCTTTATTAAAAATTGAATACTGTTAACGGATTCGTCGCATTAGATTAGATTTGAAATTATTTGAAGTTGTTTTTTAATTTGAATTGTATTTTGTAGTTGTTAGTCTTTATATTTACTCTAAGATAGCTTAGGGCGGAGTGGAAGCGAAAGCTCATATTCTCAATAAAGCGCAATAGATAAGTTGGGCTTAAGATTAGAGAAATACATTTCGATTTATAACGTTGAGAGGGACACATCGTTTTTCGACATTTTTAAATATTCAGCAGCCACCCTTATTATACCCTTGCAGAGGGTATTATAATTTTGTCCAAAAGTGTGTAACGCAGTGAAGGAGACATCTCCGACCCCATAAAGTATATATATTCTTGGTCAGGATCACCTCCTGAGTTGATATGAGCATGTCCGTCTGTCCGTCTGTCTGTCTGTTTCTACGCGAACTAGTCTCTCAGTTTTGAAGCTATCGTCTTGAAACTTTGCACAAACTCTTCTTTCTTTTGCACGCAGTATATAAGTCGGAACGGCCCGGATCGGCCGACTATATCCTATAGCTGCCATATAACTGATTAATCGGAAATGGTATAACTTCGGTGGTTTTAGAGTTAGAGAGTTCAAATTTCACATGAGAGCTATTTTTGGCAAAATAATACAACATGCCAAATTTCGTAAGGATCGGCCGACTATATCTTATAGCTGCCATATAACTGAACGATCGGAAATGACCCAACTTTCGTGTTTTTAAAGATAGAAAGCTGGAACTTGGTACAGATTATATTTTTGGTAAGTTAATCCGACCTATTAAATTTCATAACGATCGGTCGACTATATCTTATAGCTGATATATAACTGAACGATCGGAAATGGTATTTGGTAGAAATACCACCTTTGGTATGTTTGAAGATAAAAGTTTGGGACTTTTTTTAGATTTTGTATTGTAATAAATTGGATTATATATTCATATTCCCATAAGGAGCGGCCAACTATATCCGATGTTTGCGATATATATCCGGTTTTAACTGCAAGGGTATATACACTTCGGCTCCGCCCGAAGTTAGCTTTCCTTTCTTGTTTTTTATTTTTTATAGTTACAAATCCAGTGTGAGATAAACTAACCTCATTTAACATTTTGGCGCCCCGGATGGACATTTGGGCTAAATATTTAAAAATTAAAAAAAAAATAAACATAAAGTTTAAATTCAAAAAAATTCATCGCGTCGTGAAACCGCCACAAGCCGCCAACCCAAGGATCATCGCCACCAGGATCACCAGCGAGCTCCATGCCGTGTACCTGCATTGACTGCACGAGGAAAGTGGCAGCGGGATTAAAGAATCCCAAGGCAGAACCGCAGGTATTTGTGCAAAAATTGAAAGTTTAGAAAAGACGAATTAAATCTACGTCTTGTGCTGGAATATTGCACCCTCCTTTCAATTCTTGGCGCATTCGTACTTGAAATTAGTAGAGCTAACAATGTGAATAGTTTGTTTAAAATAGTTGATTTGTGCAGCTAAACTTTTATTTATATACAAATATGTTAGGTTGTTTGGTAATGACATACCGGTTTCTTTATTTATTTTATGACGAAGATGTTATCATAGTTAGCATTGTCCGAATTAAGTGCTATATGTACCGATGCCTTTTATGATTTTCTGCAATTTTGATGATAACTTGTATGTATATGCCTCTCCTAAAGAAGTCCTTGTCCCTACTGGCAAAAAAAATTGGCGATTCCATTTTCACAATCCTCCCTTGAACTCAATTTTTGTCCATCGAAAAAATTTTGCATGGCCAAAAACAAATGATAATCACGTGGGGCAACGTCCGGACTTTAAAGTGGATGCATTAACACTTCCCAACCAACCTCCCGTAGCCTGTGCCACGTCATACCCTTGCAGAGGGTATTATAATTTTGGTCAAAAGTGTGTAACGCAGTGAAGGAGACATCTCCGACCCTATAAAGTATATTTATTCTTGATCAAGATCACCTTCTGAGTTGATATGAGCATGTCCGTCTGTCTGTCTGTTTCTACGCAAATTAGTATCTCGGTTTTAAAGCTGTCTTGAAACTTTGCACACACCCTTTTACACACACTTTCCTTTGCACGCAGTATATAAGTCGGAACGACCGGGATCGGACGACTATATCCTATAGCTGCCATATAACTGAACGATCGGAAATGGTATTTGGTAGGAATATCAACTTTCGTATTTTTGAAGATAGAAGCTTGGGATTTTTTTTTTGATTTTTTATTTTAATTAATTGGTTTTATTATTATGTACTCATAAGGATCGGCCAACTATATCCGATGTTTGCGACCATAGACATTGATAATAGGGTGCGATGGCAACGCCCATCGTCATCAGTGGAGAAGCACTGACACTATCGAGAGGAGTGAGTCAGTATTCGAATTTATCCTAAGCTCAAATCTTCTGGTGGGTAAAAGGGGCACAGAACCAACTTTCATCGTCAAGAACAGAAGAGAAGTACTTGACATTACTCTTTACTCAGACTCACTGGCAGACAGGATTGTTAGATGGGGAGTCCTAGAGAAGCACTCCTTCACGGACCATCGATACATAGAATTAGTGGTCAGTCTTGAGAACCTAACTTAACTAAGCAAACACTTAAGTAGCCTGGGAGGCGTACAAAGCGAACCTCAAGCAAAGAGGAATGCCTGGACCTCAAAAGACATCGAAGACTTACCGACTTAGGAAAGTCCTCGCAACCACTGATCCTAATGTACCTAAAGGATATATTAAGACCTGGGAAGGTGGCTGGACCATGTCCAGCAAGGAAACGCTAGTGGCTCTCACTAATGCACATTTCCCAGGGTATTTTCAAGAAGAAACAACCTAGGAAATGCTGCTCCTCCCTCCCGAGCCACGAATACTCCAACGTAATAGAAATCTCAGTTGGGCGATAAACAGCTTCAAGCCCTGCAAGTCTACAGGCACAGGTCCCATCTTCTCGTCAAAATTAATCAAAGCCGGATGCAATCTGTAATCATGAGTGCCCGCGACGTGGTTTCGGACTAAAGTTGTCTTCATAACCAAGGCGGGAAAACCATCGCACTACTTCCCTAAGAACTTTAGACCAATAAACCTGTCGTCCTTCTCAAAACAATGGAGGGACTTATTAGCTTTCATCAAAATGCACTCAGTGACAAAGAATACGAGCTTTTTGCTTTTCTGGACATCGAAGGTGCTTTTAACAACATTCCGCCATGTTCAATAACCAATGCCCTGACAAAGCTAGGGGTAGACGAACAGGATTTGATACGATAGATAGCAAAACTGCTCCCGCGGCATCCGGCAACGCCGGAGTTGCAGAACCGATAGTTTAAGCGGGTGTTAAATCTCTGTTAACTCAGCCGGTAACCATGTGCCTAAGCTTTCTTTTCTATTTGACACTCGAGGGAAGTGGACGAAAAGTGAGAACAAATTAATATTTAAGTTTGATTATGAATTGTACAACTATTAATTTCTTAGGAATTTAAAGTGCTGCTATCGCAGAGTGGTTACCGACTTGCTGCCCTGTTATAAATGAAAACAATAAACAATTATCAGCATCTACACGGGCGTCTTTACTCGGGCGGCGCTAAAAAACTTCGAATTTCCGCAACATTTCCTTAAATTCTTTTCTTGGTGTATTCTTGGAGAATACTTGAGTCAGAGAGCGAAATCAACATGGAGATGCCTACTGGATCCGGTGGAGAGGCAAGATTGACGGCAAGATTGATGGTTTCCTCTGTGAAGTGGAGGACGAGCACGTGACAGTTGGCTGTATCGGCGCCGGCTGCGTGAGCATGTGCCATCCTAAGTGTGCTGCTCTAGAGGAGTGTGACGTAGACGTCCATGCACAGAACTCGACGTTGATCAGGACAGAAAAGCTGACCAGCCTGACGGCTGGGGACAACTAACAGAGTTACTCAGGTGGCGACCAGATGAGGATCGGAGCTAATGACAACGAGGCCTCGAAGGAAGCGCAGGACCTGCAGACGGAGCTAAGGTTGTTGGAGGTAGAAGATCAGTTGCTGCAGTTGCGACAACAACTTCTACATAGGCGAAAGGCGCTTATGGGCAAGCTCCCAAGGGAGAGGCTATCGGAGACTGGCCACGCAGAAAAGATGCCTGGAGCATCTAGTACACGGTACCAGAATGCTGGTACGGATACAATTGGTGAAGTTGCCGTTGTGGAAGGAAACGGCAGTACGCAGAGAGCCCACGCTGGGCCCCCATGGCTCTCTTCTACCAGTGGTGAGGACAACTCAGCTGCTAGGGTCACTAAACCTGTGGGCAGACCATCTTACGAACAATTGACAGCGAGGAAGACTAGCGTGGCTGAATTGGTGAAGTTTTCCGGAAGGCCGGAGGACTGGCCCTTATTCATCGCAACGTATGAACAAACGACGGAGCTATGCGGATTCACGGATGCCGAGAACCTCATGCGGCTTCGGCATGCGTTGGAAGGACCAGCCAAGAACGCAGTACAAAGTCTAATGCTGCATGCGGACTGTGTTTCGCAGATAATCTCCACGCTAAGAATGCGATTTGGGCGACGCGAAATTGTCATTTACTTGTTAGTGACAAGGATTAAACAATTTCCTCAAGTGAGGGAGAATAAGCTTGAAATGCTGGTTGACTTCTCGGTGGAGGTGAAAAATGTTTGCGCTACGATGAAAGCCTCCAAGTTGGACCAGTACTTAAACAACCCAGCGCTCACGCAGGAGCTAGTGAGCAAGTTGCCATCGATGGTGCAGACGTTTTGGGGAATGCACAAAGCCTCTCTAACAGTGTGTACGTTGGCAGAGTTTAGTACGTGGCTATCGCAGATGGCAGAAGGAGCGAGCCATGTGATAGTCCCAAGCTCGTCGTCAAGAACGGAGAGAAGGGGCACGGTACATACACACACTGTGCGCCAAGGCTGTCGGCTATGCACCCGCAATTGCAGAACCCTGCAGGAGTGTCCAGCATTCCTGGAAATGACGACCCGCGATCGCTGGAATGCTACTCGACGGTGTGGCTTGTGCTGGAGATGTTTCCAGAGCCACAAGGTGGAAAGATGCGGCGTCCCCAATCCTTGCGGAATAGATGGATGCCTAGAACGCCATCATCTCCTGTTGCATCGCGGCAGCACGGCTCCCGTCCAAGCCAGGTGCCATGCACATCGACAAGAAGGTGTGGAAATGCTATTCAGGGTATTGCCAGTGACTTTGTATGGAAATGGTAGGCAAGTCAACACGTATGCCTTCATCGACGACGGGTCATCTCTAACCTTGATCGACGCCCCATTGCTAGAAGACCTTGGAGTGAAGGGACAACCGCAGCCTCTATGTATGCAGTGGACTGCCGGCATGCACCGGTATGAGGACAGCTCGGTCAGACTGGACTTAAGGATCTCCGGCATTGGTCAAACGAAGCTATATGATCTCTGCGACGTTCATTCGGTCCAGTCTTTTGATCCTCGTCACAGTCGTTGGATATAACCTACCTGAAAGCACAGCACACACACCTTCGACATCTACCATTGTCCGGATACGACTCAGCACAGCCCAGGCTCCTGATAGGTCTCAATAATTGCAAACTAGGGCGCGTGCTTCGCACCAAGAAAGGCACAACAGAAGAACCGATCGCTGAGAAGACCCGCCTAGGGTGGACGATTAAAGGAAGAAGCTCCAACAGTGTGGGTGATGACATAACCCCAAACTACCACGTGTTTCACATATGTGGATGTGAAGCTGACGAGAACATGGAGATCTTGCGCCTGCTTGGGCAGTGCATGTGGTCGGACGGCGGCCCTAGACCGGAGATGAATAGCAAGAGCGCATCCAATGATGACCAGTTGGCTATACAGCAGCTGGAGAAGAACACGAAGCGTATAAGTGGCCGATTTGAAACAGGTCTGCTTTGGAGGTATAAAGATGACAAGCTGCCGGATAGTTTACCGACAGCCCTAAAACGGGCACGATGCCTGTACCAGAAATTGTCTCGCGAGCCGGAGCTTGCGAAGGAAATTCGCCGACAGCTAGATGAGTACGTGAAGAAAGGATATGCACGGCTCATTACGTCGGAAGAAGCTGAGGAAAAGCCATATTGGTATCTACCTATTTTTTTCCGTGCTAAACGTGAACAAGTCAGGAAAGATTCGCATAGTCTGGGATGCGGCTGCGAAGACGGAAGGGATCTCGCTGAACACAATGCTGCTGAAAGGACCTGACCAACTAGCGCAGTTGGTACCAATACTTCACAGGTTTAGAGAGAAACGTATTGCTATCGGCGGCGATATCGCCGAGATGTTTCATCAGGTCAGGATACACACCGAAGATCAGAGATACCAACGCTTTGTATTTATAGACCCAAACACACAACGGAGAGAGAACTACGCCATGCAGGTAATGACGTTTGGGGCTAGTTGCTCCCCCAGCTGTGCCCAGTACGTGAAGAACAGAAATGCAGAGTCGTTCAAGAAGGAATACCCACGCGCTGTTAAGTGCATACTGAAGAATCACCATGTAGACGACATGCTGGACAGCGTCGACACGGAGGAAGAAGCTATAAGTCTCACGCGTCAGGTCCACTACATTCATCTTCAGGGCGGATTCCTCATTCGAAACTGGGTATCGAATTCCAGAGAAGTATTAAGCGCACTCGGCGAAGGAGCACCCAAGCTAGTGAGACTAGACGAAACAACGGATGGACAGACCGAGAAGGTGCTGGGAATGTGGTAGAAGAAAGAAGATCTCATCCGCTACCGTGTATCCCTACGATATCGCCATAGAGAACTTCTCCAAGGAAGGCAACGACCCACCAAACGAGAGTTTCTCAGTGTGTTGATGTCTATATATGATCCTTTAGGGCTCATATCTTTCTACGTGATGTATGCAAAAAAAATATTTCAGGAAATGTGGCGAAGTGGATGTACCTGGGATGACCCCATACCTGAGGCAGAATGGATTAAATGGAAGCGATGGCTTCGGTATATTTCGGACGTTGAGAAAAAGACCATCCCAAGATGCCACATGAAGGAGTCGCTGATGGATTCAGAAGTGGAGATGCACACCTTCGTGGACGCAAGCGAGAATGGATTTGACGCCGTGATTTATATACGATTTCAAAATGAGGCAGGTATCCACTGCAGTCTACTGGGCAGCAAAACCAAGGTAGCCCCTCTAAGACCGACATCCATACCAAGGCTTGAACTTATGGGAGCAGTGCTTGGAGCGAGGCTAGCTCAAACTCTGGAACTTTCACTTGGCGCAAAGCTGAGCACACGGACCGATCGAACCAGAGGAAGTACAAACAATTTGTAGCATTCCGTGTGATCGAGATTCTAGACGGTACTAGCGTCAAGGACTGGCGCTGGGTACCTTCCTCCAAGAACGTAGCGGACGACGCCACTAAGTGGAACAAAGGACCTGATTTCAACCGAGAAAGTCGATGGTTGAACGGGCCGAGATTTCTTTGATAAGAGAGGCAATTTTGGCCGCTGACAGAGGCGGAAGAAGGAGACGAGTCAGGAATGGAATTTAAAGCGCAATTCATCGGCGTATGTGACGGATTCACAGACGTAGGACGCGCGACCCTCTAAACTCCGAGCGGTTCTCAATCTGGACCCGTCTGCTATAGAGTACCGCGAGATCGGTATGGTGTATGAGGCGATGGAAGGCCAAGGCTCTACAACGATCGGACATCGAAAATCAGCCATCACAAGAAGATACCAGGTTCGCGGAGAGTCTTCTGTGGTCGTACGCTCAGGCGGAGTACTACCAGACGGAGATACGGTTTTACAAGGAAAACCATTGAAGAAGAATAACCTACTATGCAACGTGGGACCGTATATGGATTCCGATGGAGTATTAAAGCTGGATGAACGTGCCAAGATGGTCAAGGGAAGCGACCGCGTCGTACTCCCCTGCGGCAGCCACATTACGCAGCTTATCATAAAAGAATTTCACCGATGATTTCTGCACGCTAACCACGAGACGGTGGTCAACGAACTACGACAAAGATTTTGGATACCAAAGCTGAGATCCACCCTTGCTCGGATACGACGTTCCTGCCAGCAATGCAATAACCGACAAGCGGTCCCCAAACCGCCGCGCATGGCGGAACTTCCCTATCCAAGAGTAGCAGCCTTTCATAGACCTTTCAGGTACACGGGTGTGGACTACTTTGGGCCTCTGATGGTGCGGGTCAGACGCAGTTCAGAGAAACGATACGGCGTGCTCTTCACCTGCCTCTCTACAAGGGCAATACATCTAGAGGTAGCGTATTCATTAACAACTGACTCTTGTATTCTAGCGGTGCGCAGTTTTGTGGCCCGATGAGGGTGCCCAGTGGAACTCTGGAGCGACAACGGCACCCATTTTCAAGGAGTCCGCACGGAGTTGCGTTTTGCGTTAGAAGATGTGGACAAGGATCTACTATCTCGCGAGTTCACTGAACCCCAGATGACATGGAAGTTCATTCCACCCGCATCTCCCCACAATCCTCCTTGACAAACGTCCATCGGATGAGTTGCTGAGAGCCGCTCTAATGGAGGTCAACTCGCGACCCCTAACATACATCCCATTGGAAGATGAGAACGAAGAATCACTGACACCAAATCATTTCCTGCTTAAAAGCTCAACTGGAAGAGGACCGACGATGGAGCCCCTACCCGAAGGAGTGCAGCTCAAGAAGAGCTGGATGGAATCACAACAACTGGCGGACTCGTTCTGGAGGCGATGGCTTCAAGAATACCTGCCAGTGATCACTAGGCGGACCAAGTGGTGCGAAAAGGCTAAGCCTCTTGTAGAAGGCTTAGCCGTGTATGTGTATGTGTGCGATCCAGGACAGCCGCGTAGCCAGTGGCCGAAAGGAAGAATCCTAAAGGTCAACCTTAGCTCGGACGGTCAAGTGAGGAGCGCCGCGGTGAGGACCCAATCTGGCGTTTATATAAGACCCGCGACGAAGCTGGCAGTTCTATCTATCGAGAGAAGTTTGGTAGATCCCTGGCGGCATATACAAGTGGGGAGTGTTACGATAGATAGCAAAACTGCTCCCGCAGCATCCGGCAACGCCGGAGTTGCAGAACCGATAGTTTAAGCGGGTGTTAAATCTCTGTTAACTCACCCGGTAACCATGTGCCTAAGCTTTCTTTTCTATTTGACACTCGAGGGAAGCGGACGAAAAGTGAGAACATATTAATATTTAAGTTTGATTATGAATTGTACAACCTTTAATTTACTAGGAATTTAAAGTGCTGCTGAGTGGTTACCGACTGTACCACTGTTAGCCCTTGCTGCCCTATTATAAATGAAGAAAACAATAAACAATTATCAGCATCTACACGGGCGTCTTTACTCGGGCGGCGCTAAAAAACTTTGAATTCCCGCAACAGGACTGTTAAACAGAACAAGACTGTAGCGGTGTAAAAACCTCCTGTGATCCCTATATGGTGGTGGTTGCAAAGTTAGTGCTTATGCAGATGATGTCACAATCGCCTTCTTTGGAAAATTTTCCCAAACTCTGTGCGACCGCATGACGGAAAAACTGAGGGTTGTCTCATCACGGGCAGATACGAACGGGATGGGAGTGAATTCATCCAAGACCGAACTTATCCTCTTCACTAGGTAGTACAAAATACCGAGTTTAAGGCTTCTAAAACTATCAGGGGAAACTCTACACCTCATTGGTAATGCCAAAAGCCTTAGAATTACGCTAGACAGAAAACTGGACTGGGTTTAGTTAATACTATGAATAGTATACTAGTAATACTATAGTAATACTATGAATGGCCGCAAGGCCATTAGACTCAAATGGGGCATGTTTCCAAAAATTGTAATCCTTGAATTCTTTGTAAAATTGTAATTGTAAATCCTCATTCACGGGGTAGTGGTCTGGTGGCCTGCTTTAACAAACTCCATATGCAGGGAGAAGTTTAGGAAAACGTTAAAGATGGTGGAGGTCTGTATAACAGGTAGTCTTCGTCCCACACCTGTAAATAGTCCTTCAGACTCCCCGAACACTGTAGTATGTTTCAAGCGGAAGTAATAGCTATCGGGGAAGCACTTAGATCTCCAGCTCTTACTGACAATCAAGGAACTATTTATATCTTCTCAGATATATCTCCGATTATATCCGGTTTTAACAGCAAGGGTATATCAACTTCGGCTCCGCCCGAAGTTAGCTTTCCTTTCTTTTTTCCAATAAAACCATCAGTTCGTTCTACAATATCACCATACAAAAATAAATATTGACAAATCATTTTTCCATCAAAGTCATCAAATTTTTAACAGTAGACTCTGGGGGGTAGATCTAGTTTTAATTATATTACCGCTTAACTCTTCGTTGGCGTTTACCATTGAGAACAACTGTGAAGCACTGCGTTTCCAATTTCCAACAATTTTTTGACTTTCGTTTTCTTGCTTTTTGAGAACGTCCAAAATTTTTTGAAGATGAGATTTTCATTAATACCATCGAAAAATGTTTTTGGTTCGAAAAAGTCCTCATTTCTTCCACAGTCTTTCCACTTTACTATAAGCGTACTAGTAACTTTTCGCAACTTTTTGCCAATCTCGCACTAATCTTCCTGAGTATTTATAAAGTCTTTCACAACAGAACCAAATACAAAGTTTTCCATGACAATAAACCTCTTGGTTATACAGTCGAGTCCCGATAATTCGAAATGGCAAGGGGATCACTTTTTTTACGAATTAGACGGGAATTCAATTTATCGAGATTTCTATTTAACGGGGCTCAAAAATGAAAGAGTTGAATAAACGGGGTTTTTACATATCACATTATGTTTATAATGTATTTATCTTTTTTTAAAATTAAACAAACATTATAAGTATGTACATTTTTCAAATGAGGGGAAAATTAAACAATAACATTAAATTGTAATAATAAAAAATTAAACAATTAAGCAGAAACACTAAATTATAAAAAACAAAAATTCAAGCTTTAAAATAATTGGTAATTTTTGGTAACAGCAAACTAAACGAAAACAGTGAGAGAAACACAAAGTTCATGATGCATAGCGACATAAAGGCGGCATAGCTGTCTGAAAAATCTAACGGGGCCTTAAATACAAAAAATTTCGCATCGCATTACGATTTATAAGAGGTTACGAAACAAAATTACGATTTATAAGAGGTTCAATACTCTTTGCGTTGCGCCAAATACTACGAATTAACGAGGGGACCAAAATGTATGGAATTTTTACGAATTAACGAGTTTTTTTCAAGGGGTCAGAATTTTTTACGAATTATCGCGATTTTCGATTTAGCGGTTACGAATTATCGGGATTCGACTGTAATAGAAAAATAGATCCTTTTTTGCTACTGACATTATGCCTTATTGTGGTAATAGCAGTTCATATTACACATTTTGGGCGTCACTGATTTAAACTTTTGGCTAATAAAAGAGTAAGGCTGAATTCACTTGAATCCGGTATATTTGACTCCATGAAAGACAGGTGTGCTCTAATCCGAGTTCGTTGTTAATATACTGAACTACCACTACTATACACCACAAACCGGTCAAAAACATTGATTTTTATACCCTTGCAGAGGGTATCATAATTTTGTCCAAAAGTGTGCAACGCAGTGAAGGAGACATCTCCGACCCTATAAAGTATATATATTCTTGATCAGGATCACCTCCTGAGTTGATATGAGCATGTCCGTCTGTCCGTCTGTCTGTCCGTCTGTCTGTTTCTACGCGAACTAGTCTCTCAGTTTTG